GTCATTGTAAAACCTTTAAATATAACAGTTCCAGGAAATGTGAAAGTGTAAGAGTTGGAATATCTACATTAATGTTTCTTACTTCATTAGCAATTTAAAGTCCATGTTTCTAAATAAGTTAGATGTCATAGAAAGGCATGAATGTTTTATCTGTATAGCAAAAAGATGAATCTGATGTTTAACTTATTGTCATAAGTACAAACTTATAATTTTGTATGTGTATATACGCATTGCACTTAAATTGTCTATTTGTTTACTTAGAAGACATATGTTAGGTTCATATTGTATTGGAAGAAGTGATTCGTATATTTATGACTGTTTCATGTTTGGCATACCCACCTGCCTGTCTGTCCTCAGTCTGTCTCGTATACCATCAAAGATCATAACGCTGGAGGCAGAGAGAGGTGTTTTCTCAATTCAGAGAGCTAGTGTAGTGATCTGAACATAAGACCTCAGTAAACGTCGATTCTTAGGAATTTTCTTTAAAAAGAACCCATTTTGTGCTGCCAAACAGAGTATAGTAGTTTCCAAGGACTTTGCTTTCTGTAGTTTCCATTATCTGCCATTAACTGTGGTCTGAGAATATTAAATGGAAAATTCCAGAAATAAACAACTCATACGCTTTAAATTGTGCACCTTCTTGAGTAGGGTGATGAAATTTTGCAGCATCCCACCTGGAGTGTGAATTAGTCCTTTGTCCAGCGCATCCACACTGTGTATGCCACCTGCCCCTTAATCATCCCTTACAGGATCCGCTGTCACAGCATTATGGTGCTTGTCTCTATCATGTAACCTTCATTTTATGTAGTACTCACCCCAAGGCACAAAAGTATGCATAGGAAACAGTGCAGTAGTACATACTATCTGTGATTTCACACATGCTCTGGGGATCTTGGATAAGGGTGACCAAGTGTTGGGCTTACTAATTCATAAGGGGAAGAAGTTTATCATCTCATGGTTCTAAAGGACTAGTGTGGGACATGGGGTCTCAGATGGTGGGAGGGAGGAGAACGAGGGAGAGAGGGGGGAGCAAAGGAGAGGCTGAACTTGTTTTTTAAATATAATGAATTCTCATCTAATATGTAAGGAACTGACTTGGACGATCATGTTAATTCCCCCAGGCAGTGTCTTCATGGTCCAGTCACATCTCATGTTTACCTTCCAACATACTACATTGGTGAATTACCAACACGTGCTTTGGGAAGGAGGAGGGAACTCAAATCATAAACATCTAACTCAGAGATTTCTTCTTCCTCCTTGACAGGAGTTGACCCTCCTCTCCCTTACACTCCCCATGTTGGCAGCACCATCAGCCCCAGGGGACGGCAATCCTGTCAGCTTCCTACTTGAGAGCACATAAGCCATATCTGCTGTAATTGTTTATTAGAATAATTTATTGAGCTTGCATGATTACAGAGTGTAGGATAAATTTTATTATGCCAAATTTTCTCAGAAACTATGAATAGGTTGAAATAAAAATTAAAGATGTGTCCTCTAAATCTCTAATTCTGAAAACATTTGGTTGGACTTCACAAGTATTCTTCATGAGTATTCGTCACTGTTGGGACAAGAATATAGGTGTATGTTCAGCCCCGTGTCGGGATAGGGACTGGCGGCTTTTAGAGTCTGCATTGCCTTCTTTGAGACTGTACATCTCTGGCCTCTTGGCTCTGCCACCATGCTTTTAATTTATGGTTTACACTAGCCTTTTTCTTCCAGCCTTGGTTATGGCTCCAGATCAGGTAGCTGAAGGGACTGTGGTTGTCACTGGAATGACAGATTGTGGTGGTGACATATCAGTAAGGATTGTGTAATGGTAGAGAAGGCAGAAAACTCAGGCTTATGAGCCTTTGCTAGCAGGAAAATTATTTTTTAAAACTTTGAGTATGAAATGGTGTGTTTCACAAAATGTAAACAATACTTGTGTAGAATTAACACTTTCCATGTGTAAAGGGGCGTGATGTTGTAGACATTTGGAATGCTTGCTAAAGCTGTTTTGACTCTGAACCACTGGAATGCAGTGGTGTTTTGTTCTAGAGGAAGATGCATCAAGGAAAGAATGTTATTTTACACCAAGTGCATTGGGCTCAGAACCCCATGGTTCCATTGAAAGTTTAAGACAACCATTTGATCTTAGCGTTTTTTGTATTGCCATTTTTATTTTGAGATCGCTATAGAGCCACGTGCCGTTTTAATAAATGATACAGACTTGTACATCCCCATTTCCTTCCAGTGTTAGTATCTTGTACCGACCACAGCAGAGTGTGGCAGCCAGGAAATTGTCACTGACACAACCTGATATGATTTAAATGTATTCCTCAAACTTCATGTTCTGTGAGCTTAGTTCTAGGGGTAACTATGAGGGAAGCAGACCTTTAACAGGAGGCCAGCCCAGTAGGGTTCGTCCCTCATGAATGAGTTAATGTCTCGTGTGCAGGAGTGAGCTTGTTATGAACAAGCAGTCTGTCACCTCTTGCTCACTTGCTGTCTATCGCTTTTCTGCTCTCTACCATGGGATGTACTCCCAAAGTGCTGCACTTTCATGTTGGGGCCCAAGTAAACTTGCATTTTTTATTAAGTATCCAGTCTGTGGCATTCTGCTATAGCAATGTGAAGAGAGAGTCTCCACACTTAGATTCACCAGTTTTCTGTTCACTTTTATGTGTTTGTATGTTTAGTTTTATATGTACATCTTACCATTCTTTAAATTAAATTTATTCATTTGTTTATATCCTGATCACTGTTTCCCCTCCCTCCCCTCCTCCCACTCTCTCACCCTCCCTCCCCCTACCCCATCCAATCCACTCCTCTTCTATTTCTGTTCAGAAAGGGGCAGGCCTCCCATGGGTGTCTACAAAGCATGGCATATCAAGTTGAGGTAGGACTAAGCTCCTCCCCTCATATTAAGGCTGGGCAGACAACCTAGTATGGGGAGTAGATTCCCAAAAGCCAGCCAGTGCATCAGGGATAGGCCCTGCTTGCTCTGCTGGGAGTCCTACAAGTAGATCAAGCTACACAACTGTCGCTCATATGTGGAGGGCCTAGGTTGATCCCATGAGAGCTCTTTAGGTGCCACACCATAGTCTGTGAGCTCCCAGAAGCCAAGGTTAGTTGTTTCTGAGGGTTCCCTTGTGATGACATTGACCCCCGCTCCTGTTTGTTTAAAAACAAGGGAAATAAGGGTTAGATAAATCACACAAAATGCTTTCAGAGTAGACATGGGGATCAAATATTGATCTATCTTAGCTTTTCAGTAATAATAATAATTAGTAGCCAGATCTCACTGAGTTTCATATGGAATATTGTATACTTAGCACACACCAGGCTTGTATTGACTTAAGTGACCTTCCTAGGAATTTTACCATGTAAAATTGGTTTACTAAACTTAATTAAACCTGGTAATTTTTCCAAGAACAGGTAAGTTTTTTTTTTACAACTTGAAATCAGTAGAAAAAATCCCTCTTTTTTCATAATTTTACATTTTATGTCATGACCATGGAAGTTTAGGGGGGGAGGGAAGTTGAGTGAGTCCTGTATTGCAGGTGGAGTTAAGTTGAGGTTTTTAAAAGTCTTTGTTCTATTGTAAAGAAGAGCTGGTTTAGGCAGAGTGCCAAATTTTAAAGAGAATTAATCTAAAATATCACAAATACTTAAAAGTATAATTGGATTTCTTTCATGTTCTAATTGAGGGTTATTCTTATGACTACTTTTGGCTAAATACAGCACCAGGGATGTTTGAATTCGGTCAGATATCCACAGTTACATATCTGGCTTTACAGTGGTGCCTCATGCATTTGCCTGTAAACTGGTATGGATATGTGTTAGGAAGATAATAGATACACCAATGGAGAGTCCATAATTTACTGTTCTTTGCTTGTTAAATGTCTTGTAAAGCTGTCCTTATGATGAACAGCAATCCTTACTCAGACTAGGGATAACAACCCTGTGCGTTGCTCCTCAGGAGGCCTCAGTGTTTTTTGTAGAAGCAGACAGATATAAAAGGCATCTTGTCCTTTGTACTTTGTGTCATCCTGCTAGAGAATGCACCATGTGCTGGAATCTGATCCTGACTTCTGCCAGGCCACCTCCCTCAAGAATCATGGGCAAATCCCGCTACAACAGTTCTTGGACTTTAGTCTGCCTGCTTTCGACTGAGATGGATGGCTCCTGTGGGGAGCACTGTGCTTCTGTCTGCCTGAGCATCTCTGCCAGGCGTGCCACAGCAACCTGCATCTGCCACCTGAGGGGAGGGAAATACGTTTCATACACTGCAGATGTAAACTACATTCTGCACAGTCCTTTTGGAAAAAGCCGTAGTCCACAGAAGTGGAATAGCCTGTGAATCACCATGTGGGGTTGATTTTGTCCTACATGGCAGAACTTTATTTGCATGTTAGATAATGCAAATCTTCTGAAGCTTTGTATTATTAGAAATTCTTTGTAAACTACAAAGCCTCTTTTGAGATCACTATATCCATTTTCTCCTAAGGAAGTTTTTCCTCCTCATTCCACTCCATGGCTAATAAGAGGGGAATGCAGTAACGGTTAAAGAAAGGAATGCATGCCTTTTCTTTCTTTCTTTCTTTCTTTCTTTCTTTCTTTCTTTCTTTCTTTCTTTCTTTCTTTCTCTCTCTCTCTCTCTCTCTTTTTCCTCTCTTTCTCCCTTTCTCTCTCTCTCTCCCCCTCTCTCTTTCATTCTCTCTTCCTTTCTTTTGAGAATTGTACACATTTTCTGTCTTGGGTTATGTAAACGTGCATGACTGTAAAATGTTGACAAGTGTGAAAGGTAAAAAAAAAAACTATCCTGTTAATATATACTTCTTTGGAATTTAAAAATCAAAACACTTCCTCTGTTTCTTGAGAGAACTGTTTTGCTTGATGGCCCAGAATACAAATCCAGTAAAAATGACATGTTCCAGCCGTCACTTACACATACACCTTCGGTGAAATTAATGAGATCACCCTAAGATTACACTTTGTGTTTTATTTTCATTTTATAGGTCTGTATGAGCTGTTGGCCGCTCTGCCCGCCCAGCTGCGGCCACATGTGGATAGCCAGGAGGACCTGACCTTCCTCTGGGACATGTTTGGTGAAAAGAGCCTACATTCACTGGTCAAGGTAAACCACACTGATGTCAAGTTCTCTTTGTGAAAAACATATGGAAAAATATTTTGAGCGCCATCTAGTAAACCAGAGACGAAATTGTTCCTGTCTGAAAACAAAACAGCCTTGTTCTATTTCATGGCTGGGCGTGGAGGTTGTTAAAGATCTTACCAAAAATACATAGATGACTTCACTGAAGGGGACGATGTGGCCGCGCATGCTAATGCAGCGGCATGCGGCTGCCCTTGTTTAGACAAAGGACAAAATAGTGGCAGGAAGGTTGAGACTCCGTTCTGGTTGACATTCGTGAGCTGGAATTTCACTTAAATAAGCAAATGTTCACAGCAGAAATTAGAAGGAATGTGTGTTCTGAGGTCAGAGACGGCAGCTGCCCAGAAGCCACATTAATTTAAAATAATTTCCTTTAACAAAGTCAACTGAAATTCTAGTAAGCTGATTCTTTTGTTGGCCTGACTCCATTGAAATGGTATTTTGTAGATAAATACAGTGGAGCTAAATATGAATAAAAACAGTTTTTGGAGACCGTTTTAGGGAAAGCATCCCGCCACGAGAATTGTCAGCCACCGGGAACCTGATCCCGCCTTACAGAAATTCTGGGAGTGACCAGCAACTCTTAAAATAGTAAAATGAGAACAAGAAACTCACTGGAAAACATGCCACTCAGCTTCTGGAAATACAAACTGCGTTTTCTCTCATTTAACTCAAGCTGAAAGAAATGCCGAGTCTTTCTTGTGTCTGTAGGAGGTAGAAGAAGCTCATATCTCCATGAAATCTGGACCTATACTTCATTCAGCTAACTTTGTTATGGTTGTCCGTCATGAAAGGAATCTTTTAACTGATATATAGTATCTGAAAATGGGCCACTTCTGAATCGCCACTGTTTACAGAACAGAAATGAATTATGTGTTTCTTTTCCTGAAATTTGTCCGTTTTGAGTAGCAGCAATACTGAGGAAGCTAAAGTCAATATGTGGTCCTCCCCAGGCCTAGAGATTATTCATTCATTTATTTTTTTCATCATAATGCAATGGCCAAGGTATCTTTGTGCTCGAATTCATTTTAGGCAGCTTAGTTAATTCCTCGGGGCGAGTAAGAAATGGTCTTGGGACTACAACTGAGGAGTTCCTGCCTTGTATAGTAATTGAATGTAGGGACTGGGGAGTAGCTACGGATGTATGCACACTGATTTTAGCATTTGCTGAAAGGAATAACATGTACTTGAATTGCCACCGCCCCTGAGTCACTAAGTAAACATTCCTCCAAAGAATAGATGCATGTTTATTTGAATTTATTTATATCATAGCTATAATTTCCTTACCTAAAGTGGAAGTCAGAATGTGTGTCAGCAATTAGACAGTTTCTATAAAACTGTTACCATCTCAGTTCTTGGATAGCTAGCTACGTAAGTCAGGCAGGTTTAATAAGTAGTGAGGGAAAGGCTATCAGAGCACATAAAATGTCAAAGAACTACAGAGGTGATGGCTACTGGAGTGAAAAGGATGAAATTATTGTATGAAACAAATCCCTACTCACATTGGACAGTGAGCCTTAAGCATAGACCTTTTCCCAAAGTGTCTGTTAGTAGCAAGTGGGTAGGAAGCATCTAAGAGTGTGCTAGCCTCTGGTTCTCTAAAAACAGGGAAATCAATGGATAGATGCTGCCAGCATTTAGATAGCACAGTTGAATGTGTACTGTTTGTTCCATGTGTTTTCAGTAATTGCTATAAAATGCATTTTAAAAAATGAGTCTTATTTGATGCCACTCGTGTAGTATTCGTGATTCCTCCGTCCTCTCCTCTGCCTCCAGCTCTCATCAGATGCAGACCTCAAGTGTGTCCTCTGCCTGACCCGTTCTATTAGTTTTAAATATGTAAAGTCTAAAGCGCCTCCAGGAGGCAAGCTCCTGGGATCTTAGCTTAAAACAGCTGGAACAAACCACTTAACTGGATTCCAAATGCCTCTAGTTAAGGCCGGAGGACAGAAGCCTTTAGCTTTTGTACATAAATCTTGCTAGAGCCAAAGGAATTTGTTTGAAAAGATTTGTTGTAGAGTGAACCAAAATGTGCTTTGGTTTTATGCTCTTGCCTGAAGTTAAAGCCGTTAGTGTGTGATTTAGAACTGGAGAATGCAGAATTTGATTTTCATCCTAGCACCGAATTTTCATGGTCCTTGTGGGTCTCTCTCTCTCTCTCTCTCTCTCTCTCTCTCTCTCTCTCTCTCTCTCTCTCTCTCTCTCTCTCTCTCTCTCTCTCTCTGTGTCTTGTTTGTGTGTACATAGATGTGTGTGTCTATGCATGTGTATGTATGTGTGTGTCTTTGTGTGTCTCTGTGTGTATGTATGTGTGTTTGTCTCTCTGTGTGTGGTATAAATTGCCACACAGTTTGAAAGGTTTAAAATGCTTGTAACCCAGGGACCTAAAGGAAAAATACTCAAGAAGAGATGGCACATCACAGCATCACAGTCTTAAGTGGCAGGTACCGTACTCTACTTTGGATATTGAGGTTGTTACTGGAAAGAAAGGCTAATCCTAACAGGCTTGGTCAGCTTTTGACAATGCAACCCCATATTACCACCTACAAAGTTGATGCCCAAAAGCAGCACAGCTGCTACAAAAAAAAAATCACAGAGATCTCAGTATTTTAAGTGAGTTCATGACTTTGCTCTGGAACACATTCATAGATGCGCCTGCAAGGTGTCTGCTGAGGGTGATTTCTAAAAGAAAGCTTTAGGGTGAAAAGCTGAGTAATAAGAAGCACAAGTATAGCGTTCTGTCACTCTCAGGAGGAAGACGGTACTGAGAGCGTCTGAGAACTCTTACATCTGCTTGATGGGGACCTGCACATGTGGAGGACTAGGAAGCATCATTCACTCAGTCCAGCCAGTGTGAGGGAACACACTGCTGATGCATCTTTTGCTAATCTACAGGGTTCACAGAGCATATGTTTTATGCTCTAACTTCATTTCTAGATTTATCTTCTGTGTTCTTACCACTTTTTCAAAAAAAATGGGATCTGATTACTTAACTTAAATTTTCTCTAGTCGTGTATGTATTTATAATTTGATTTAAATTCATTTTAGAACAAGATAGAGCATAAGAACTTGCTTAAATATTGGATTTAAAAAAAATTGGGTTGCATTTGTGTCTCCTACAGAAACTTATGTTTTTAACTCAAAATTGCACCGGCTCTCTAGGATGAGAATATCCAATTATTATGACTTTTGCATTTTTGCATATTTCTTTGCCCTTTCAGTAGTTGTATGTGTGGGAGGACATGAAGAAAATAGAAGAAGTTACTGGAGCTTTATGCTATTTTTAGACTCGAGTATTCAACAAACACAAATTTGTATTTTAAGTGAGATTTTCCTTGCACAATAGAATTACTGTATGTTTTTCTGGGATTTCAGTGTTTAAAACAACAATGCTGAGAGCTATGGAATTTCAGTTAGTAGAGTGCTTACCTTAAAGTCATGAGGGTCTGAATTTGAGTCCACAGACCTGGAAGCCCGAATTTATAATGCCAGGACTAGGAGGGCAGAAGCAGGCAGGTCCCAGAGATTTGGTGGTGCCAACCCAGCCTGCTTGATAAATTCTACATCAGTAAAGAGACCGTGTCTAGCAATCAAAGTGGTTGCTATTTGAGTAATGACAGATATATATCCTACCCCTGCACACTATTATTCTTAATTAGAATAAACACAAGTAGACCCTCACACCACTTGTGTGCCCAGTTTTAATAATGGTTATTGATGAATCATTAATGCTACATAATCAATGCATTTCTGTATTTTTTTGGGCACTGCTATGTGCTGAGCGTTTTCTGGACTATCTGGTGAGAATTTCCAAAATGGAAGGCATAATCTTTTGTTTAATCTCCAGTTTCCCATGGAGTTATACACAGACACATGCCAATTATAGTGTCCTCTGGTAGATTATATGTGTAACTCAATAGTAGCTCCAGTATAGGTTCCTGGAGGATTTGGTTTCCTCAGCTAGACCCTGCCTGCTGAACAGGAGTTTCTTAGGTAAGTATTTATTGGGGTAGTGGGAAGTTAGACAAAAGAAGTAATGTGCAACACAAGAGGGAATAGTGAGCATTTTGTCTTTAGGATGGGGTCTGTTTGCTGGCATATGAATTATGGAAGGTGAGGGCAAAGTCTAAGGAGGCAAAGATGTTCACATGAGTGACTTTGTAAACCCAACATATTGGGAGCCATTTCCTTGAAAGGGTGAAAGCAGGGGGGTAAAAAACAAAACAAAACCCACTTTGTTTTCTTTCTTTTTGTTTAAACTCTTATTTTATTTATTTTTCAAGGAAGGAGGGGTTAAGCCCACAGTCCAAGGGTTATTTTTTATTTTTAGTTGTGTGTATGAGTGCATGTGTATGTGAGGCTATGTGCACATGAGTGAAGTTACCAATGGAGGCCAGAAGAGGGCATTGGACCCCCACAAGCTGGGGTTATAGATGGCTGTGAGCCCTTAACTGTGGGGCACTAGAAACTAAACTTGGGTCCTTTGCAAGAGCAGTGTGCATGCTCTTAACTACTGGGACATCCCTCCAATTTGTTTTCCTTTGGAAATAAAGGCCAGAGGCTAGATAGGGCATGGGATTTCCAAGTCAAGAAAGATGACAACATAACCATTGAGTTCCAGTTTGAGGGGCGAGCTGGCAGTGGTGTTCATATCATATTGAGACTTGTGCTCTGTGATCTACCCACCAGTGCCAAGCTGTTTGGGAGGAGACTCTGGAGACATCTCTGAGAAGAGCTCTCTACAAGCATATCAGTTCATACATTTTGAGTATCTCCTCAGAGGAAATGAGAAGCAATTTTAGATGTTTTAAATGTCTGCTTTAGGGGATAATCAAATAATTAGACTCATGCATCTAGAGTTGAGGATAATTACGTTCAAGGTTGTAGATAATAGATTTAGGTATAGGGTTGTCAGATAAAGTACAGGAGTCACTTAAGTTGTGATGTGGCTCTTAATGACCAGT